ACGCCAAGCCACACCATGCCAAGCCATTTCTCCTCTTCCAGGCACTTGGGCGATTTTTCGTCCTCTGCGTCACCTCGGCCGGTCAAGGAGCTCGATGCACGCCCAGAGCAGGGGGATGAGCCGTCTCCCACGGCCACGCCCCTGGGAAAACCCATCCTGGAGTCTTCCTGCGGGCACTTCCCACCTTTGGAGCGTTCTCCAGTTCCCCGCCCTCGGCGTCCCCGCTGGTGGACGATGAGGCTGGATTTCCTGGTGAACCTCTTCCCGCAGTCGGCGCAGGGGTAGGGCTTCTCGCCCGTGTGGAAGCGCTGGCAGGCGACGAGGTCCGAGCTCTGCCCGATGCTCTTCCCGCGCTCGGAGCGGGCGTAGGGCTTCTCCCCCATGAGCGACCGCTGGTGCTGGAAGAGCCCAAACCGTCCCCGGAAGGACTTTTTGCACTGGGAGCACTGGTAGGGCTTTTCCTGGGTGTGGGTCTGGATGGACCGTGAGCTCCGACCTCCAGGCGAGGGCTTTCCCGCATTCCCAGCAGCGGAAGGGTTTCTCCCCGGAGTGTACGATCCGGTGGGTGAAGAGGTCGGAGCGTTGGCTGAAGCTCTTCCCACACCCGGAGCACTGGAAGGGTTTCTCCCCCGTGTGAATCCGACGATGGACGACGCCATCGGAGCTACAGGTGAACCTCTTCCCGCATTCCGGGCACTTGTAGGGCTGTTCCCATGTGGACTCGCTCATGCCAGATGAGCGCCGACGTCTCCGTGAAGAGCTTCCCGCACGTCAGACACGGGTGGGGCTTTGCCACCACATGGCTTCTCCGATGGGAATTAAGCTCCCAACTCTTCCCAAATTCCTTCCCGCACTCTCCACACGTAAAACTCTTCCCTTCCCTGGCCAAACGCTGGCGGCAAACGAGCTCGGATCCGTTCTGGAAGCAATTCCCGCGGTGGGAACACTCGTAGAGGGGTTCTTCCCCCAAAACCATCTGACCCCCGCCTCCACGGGGGAATTCCTTGTCCTGCTCCCGCCCCCCACTCGCTCTCACAACCTCTCCCGTGGTTATTCCCTTTGGATTTTACCGCCGTTTCCTGCTTCTCAGCCCCGTCAGGATATCCCAGCTCTTCCCGGTGTCCTTCCTCCTCCTATTAATTAATAATAATTGAGGGAGGGGGAGACATGGTAAATAAACCACCTGGCTTTCTCCAAGGATTCTGGGAAGCGATGAGGATCCCGGTCCCAAACCGCTCGGAGACGCGGGCCAAGGCACGACGGATGCTCCCTCTGTTCCCGGTCCGTGGGATCCGGTCGGAAAAAGAGCAGGTTTAGGGAGATCCTCCCCTGGGAATGATCCATCGAGCGCCAAATCCATCGCCGAGTCCCTTTTCCAGGGGTTCCAACAGTTTTGGGGTGCTCCAAAGGCCCCCTCCTCCCCCTGGCACCGCATTTCCCACCCCACCAAGGGGCTTCCCGTGGGATTTGGGGGTGGGGGAGGGGTCCG